ATTGCCGCAGGGAGAGGTTTGAAATTTGGCGCGGTTTGCTCGCATAATTAACGTTCGCCAGGTGGACACGTGCGTGGCGGAGCAGGACGCCGCGAAAGAAGTCGAAGGCTCGAAAGTACCGTACATCGGTAACTCGATGACAAGACTACATTCTTCTTGCGTCGCTTCTACGAAATCGAAAGAGAGCCTGCGGCGTGCTGGCGGTTGCAAACGCCCTGCGACACTCTGACCTGACAGCGTCACCCGTTTAATTAACCCAACCGATAAGTGTCATCTTCATTATGATAATTTCACGACCCTTTGGCTCTCACGATTACCATCTCTCGAGATTCTCACGTCGGTCTTCTTCTTCCTTTTCCCGCTTGCTCCTCGCGCCGCAGGAAGCCGGAGAAAACGGCGTGCAGGCGCGCGATTCCTCGGCGTTTTCGTTTACGCGACGTTTAGGATAGCCGGTAGTTTACGGCTGCAGAAAAGCAATCGGCCGCGCACGGGTAGAAGAAAGGTGACAGGCCCGCAGGTGCCAATGTTTATAGTCGGTTACGACACGTACCATTCTGTAGGAGTCTGGCTTAGCATGGTAGGAAGAAGAAAAACGTTGGAGAGAGGTCGGAGAGAGGAGAGAACGCGTGGGCACGCAGGAACACCGCCGCACGCGGATTTTTTACGCCGAGCCCGGATCGACCACGACGACAACCAAGTCACAGGAGGCAAAATCTGAATAGCCAGGCTTACACGAGAGCCACTTAACTCGAATTATCTGCTCGGCTTACGTGTACAGTCTCGGATTACCCCGCTTCGTAATTTTATATTCCGGCTACCTCGCAACGGAGCGGCGCTCTTACGAAATTCCGCCTCCTCTCGGGAAAATCTCCCGCCATGGAGCATCGTTTTGATTTATTTCACGCAGATTAAAATCCTCCTTGATTATTTCTGACGTGATCGTTTTTCTTAGCAGCTTGCATAATCGCTCTCTAATTGGCACTTGTTCGTTTCTGAATTGAAAACGAACAGAGAGAGAGAGAGAGGTAGCTTAGGAAGTGTGGATGATGAGGTAATGTCTCTGCTAAATCGAGTCGTCAGATCATCACCATTTCCTGCAGCTTGCTGTGGAAGATTTGAACGTCGGTGGAGGTGGTAAAACGAGGAGGATGCAGAAACGAGAGGACAGGCTTGTTTCGTTTTTTTTGGTAGAATTGAATTCCTTGGCCGAAATTCAGCCGAGATGCGATGTCCTCGTCCTCGATTCCGGTCGTTTCTCTCTGCCGATAGTATCCAGGTGTGAAAGAATGGAAGGCATTTATACATCGTAGTGCACCCGGATCGTTTCGCCATTTCGAAGCAAGGTCGGTGTTACGGTACTCGAACGAGGCGTGCAAAGCTTCTTTTACCTCGTAGAGAGCCCCTTCACCACCTTCGTGCCGTTAACACATCGTCGACAATTATTCCCGTATATCACACTTTGATCGATCATCCTACATGTCGAGCACGCGGATCTGGAACCAGGTTACCGCCTCGTTACACACACCATCTCCGTTAACGTTGAAACGGTCACGCGCAATAAAAGTATCACTTAAGCCTTGGACGCAAGCGTCTTAACTTTCGTAATTTTCTCGTGAGAACGAATCAATTCTCTGCTGTATCAGTTCTATTGTGAACCGATAGTAAATCCATTCACAAACGCGAGCAAAAATGCGCCAGAAGTCTCGATCGTGCTGTAATAGGAAGGCATGGAATCGTTAAAGGCAAGGCAGAGGTGACGTAACGAGTAACAGCGGATCACAATGGTATACCGTAATAGTAACGAGTAGTTAATATCCAACGTTTGCGTTTCTTCAGTTCCCATGATCGTTCTGTAGTCACGTCGCTGAAATATCTTTTCTTTTTTTTTTTTTATCGTTCTCACGTCTCTATGCAAAGTTGTTTCTGCTACACCTCCGCCGTATTGCTATGTGCCGTATCTATGTCCCGTTCCTTCGAACGTGTCTTCGCAAAAATAACCCAGGCCGTTTATCATTCCTGTTCGAACGACACGCCGTATATCCTAGAAACGTCCGAGCTATCTGTTTGATTATGGAAAGGAAGAAAGTGCGAAAGATTCATCGCGCCTCTCAGGGTCGCGATAATCCTATTTGCTCGGGATATGGGATCGGGGCGATACCACCGGGGCAAACCCTGGTCCTT